TATAGCGCGGCCAAAATATTTGGGGCTGCGTTGCGCCTTCAGCTGCGCGGCCTCTGCCCTGGCCCGGCTGCTTCAGCCTCGGGGGGGGGGATGTGACTCCCAGAAACAAAGGAGCTGCCCCAAATCGTGCCCCCCCCCCAATTCCACCCTGCCCAGGGGGGGCCCCGCTGCTCCCCACCCCACGGGTTCAGCTTTGAATCCGTGGCCGTTTCGAGGCACCGTCAAAGTCTCCACCAGGGTTTCAGGAGCAGCTTTTCCAACTTTTGAGGAAACCCCATTTCTTCAAAGCTTGTGGGGCTGTGACACTGCCCCCCCGCCCCCCCGGCACCCTCCCACATGGGGGATTTCCCTCCCAGCTCAAGTTTAAATTCAGATATTTTTTTTCCTATTGGTTATAGAGGAAGGATGGAAGGAGCAAACACTCCCAGATGATGCTCCAGCGTTGTCACATTTCAGTTCTCCTGAAGGTTCAATGGTTGTTTTTGGCTGAGCCACACAACCCCCCCTTCCCACCCCCCCCAGTTTTAGCCGTTTGCTTGTTCAAGAAACATTCCAGGAGTAAAAATTCCTGGCGGCTCCCCTTCAGCTCCAGCAGAGAGAGGAACCGCAGCCCAAGCCCGCGGGGTCGCTCGGGCGAGGATAAAGGCAAATCTTACACAGGCCAAAAAAAAACCAACAGCAAACCTCAAACAAAAAGAAGAAAAAAAAAACAAACCTCTAAAATAACTACCTTTCAATCGGCAACACTCGGACTAACTCCTACACCTTCCCTGGAACACCCCAGTGGCTTTTTCCCCAAGAGCTGCTGCGACCCCGGGGTGTGAGACCCCCCCAAAGGGCTGGTGGGTCCTTCCCAGGAGGTGATTCTGCATCAGGGCGACCCTCCTGAGGAAGCTGCACTCACCTTTCCCTCTAAGGGTTGGGTTTTTTTTCCTAAAATAGCACAACACCCACTTTCTTCCTTAAAAACAGCAAAGAAATGTCAAACGGTCCTCGCTGCCCGGGGTCGCTCTGCCCCACAGAGTCACCCCTCGGGGCCAGCTACGGGGTGAAAGTGGCTTCTCCCTTTCTCCTCCAGCTGAATGGGAGAGAATCCCATTCTCCAGAGAATGGGATTGAAGATAAATAAGGATGTTTCTTCTTCGAAGGAAAAAGTGCCGTGCTTTGAAGGGTTGGAAAACAAATACCTGCAAACTTTCAATGCGGCAACTTAAAAAAAAAACACCAAACCACCAAAATCCCAGAAGAACTGAAGAAGTTCAGACAAAGGGAAAGGTAAAGCTTGGGGGGGGTCCCTCCTGCAGGACACCAGTCCCTCCTGAAGGCAGGAATGGGAACTGAGGAACCAGAAGGGCCACCTTCTCCTATGACACTCATCCCACCAAGAACCTCCAGCTCTCCTGGGAAGGCCTTTCCCCTCCAGCCAGGCAGAGGAGGACGTTGCTCAGGTTCTGTGTCCTCCTCCCAGGCACAGAACAGAGGTGGGGGCCAGACCAGCGTCCTACCAGACAGACCCCTCCCCAAAAAGCAAGGGAAGAAAGGAGTTTGGTGGCAAAGGAAGCAATGACAGGGTGAAGGAGCTCCCAGTGAAAGGCCGTGAGCTGCGATGCTGCGGTGACGTCGAAGGCGGTCGCTTTTCCTCAGAGTTCACCCCTCGGGTCCCTCGGCCTCGCTCGGTGGCGGCGGCTCCGCAGCAGCATGTCAAGCATTCCAAAATTTCCACTCCCTCTCTCCTCAGTACGTTTGTGTTTCCTTTGCCTCTGCCTTCTCTCAAAGCAACACAAAACGAACTCGCGTGGAGCCAGAGGTGTGGGGGGGGGGGGGTGCCTGTTGAGGTTGATGGTGTTGTCCACCAGCGTGATGCTGTCATCCTCCTGGGTGGTTTCGGGCATGAACTGTCGGAATATGCTGACGCTGCCGTGCCAGAAGATGGGCTCGGGGAGGCGGCCCACCACGCTCCACGTTCGTGTCTCGGGGTCGTAGGCCTCCAGGACATCCGAGAGTTCAAAGGTGTTATCGTAGCCACCAGAGACGTAGAGCTTCCCACCCAGCACGGCCACGCTGCCCCCAACGTGGACCTACAATTTAAAAAAAAATAATAAATAAACACAACAATTAGAAAGGAGGGTTTTGCCCAACCAGGCAGATGATAAAGGTGTCGGGCACCGTCCTGCATCACTTGGATGGGACTCGGTGCCCACCAGCTGCTGGCGCTGGCTCTGACCCAGCTCTGCCCAAACTCCAGGAGGAGACAGTTCTCCAGCTCTTTCTGCTGGGGCCGAGCACCCACAGACACAGAGTCCTCTATTTTTCCAGGTGACTGAGATAACACTTAAATGCATGAGCACCCACAGACACAAACACAGTCCTCTATTTTACCTTCCAGGTGACTGAGATAACACTTAAATGCACTCCGTGTGCAAGGGGTTATTATAATCTAAAGAGCACCTGGTTTTCCAAAGGGAAATTAAACCAATTTTTAACACCAAAAGGCATCCAGCAGGTTGGTGAGCATCCCACCTGGAGCATGGCAGGGATTTTATCCCACTCGTTCTTCGTTGGGTTGTAAACATCCACTTCAGCCGAGTCATCTCTGGGGGAGAAAACACAAAATTAGAATCATAGAATCATAGAATGGTTTGGGTTGGAAGGGACCTCAAAGATCATCTAGTTCCAACCCCCCTGCCCTGGGCAGGGACACCTCCCACCAGACCAGGTTGCTCAAGGCCCCATCCAGCCTGGCCTTGAACCCCTCCAGGGATGGGGCAGCCACAACTTCCCTGGGCAACCTGTTCCAGTGCCTCACCACCCTCAGAGTAAAAAATTTCTTCCTGAGATCTAATCTGAATCTTTTTTCTTCCAATTTAAAACCGTTTCCCCTTGTCCTATCATTACCCTTCCTGGCAAAGAGTCCCTCCCCAGCTCTTCTATAGGCACCTACTCTTCTGTGTTCTAAAAACCTCCTGCCTTGTGAAGCCCCTTGTTCAACAGGTACTTCTCAGCTCCTCCTGAGCTCCTCTCCAGGCAGAGCTGCCCGCTCTGTGCTCTCTGCTGCAGGCTGGGGTTTAGGAGGCTGCCTGGGAGGGCAGGCAGGGCTGACAGCAAGCTGCCAGCACACACCAGTTTCCACCTCCCTCCCCAAACTGGCGGGGGAGGCAGGGGGCAAGGGGCTCCAGACTGAGAGCCC